CGGCCCGGGGCTGTGCCCGGCTCGGGGCTGTGCCCGGCCCGGGGTGGTTGCCTGGCCCGTGGATCACAGAGAGAAGCCTCCTGTCATCGTCCCCTTACACTTGACACACGCATATTTATGTTTAAAGGAAGAAACTTTTCGCGCGAGTAGGTTGGACCTGCGGAGTTTCTGATTCTCTGGTGTTTTTTTGTTTGTTTTTTTTTTTGTTGTTGTTCTCCAGGCTGAAGAGAACACAGCGTCAGAACCGAGGATTAAAAAGCTGGAGCCGGTGCTTTTGCCAGGTAAGGCGTTAAATCGGGGATTTGACAAATAGCCTTTGTTGGTGTCGGTTTTGGGATGTTGCTTCTGGGTAGAAAAAGATGGTGATATTTGTGTCTCTAGGAAGTTATTCTAACCTGCCCGAAACACTACATACATGCATAGGCAATTTTGCCCGTGCGATGCTTTAGTACGTGTAGAATAATGTCTTGGTTTCACTGTGAGCATTGGAAATTAAACCACTGTAAGTTTTTCAACATTCTTGACACCTTTTGGAAGACTACTAATAACTGCATTTTCGTCAGATAGTCAGACATGTACCTGTGTGCAGAGCCCAGCCTAGGCTGGAGCCTTCCTTTATTTTAAAGGAAAATAAGAATAGAATTTCTGGTTCTGGTAGGTAGGTGTGATTGACTTCTCTACTGGAAAACTTCTAATGCCATCTTTATTCGTTCTCTTTTTGAATAGGCAACTGTTTGGTAATTTTGGAATTTGTGTTTTCAGACCTCTACAGAATAGTCTTTTTAGGGTGTGGGTGAGAAAAGCAATGCTTTTATTATTATTCGTCATTATATATTTATAAAAATTAATGACTTTCATATTTTAAATAAGAAATGATCTTTGGTAAATGATGGTTTGATCAATGAGGATTTCTAAAAGCCTTTTGTCAGATATCAAAGGAACAATCTACTGTTCTCAAGATTACTTTCATTGCAGACTGTACTTCACAGTAATAAATTTGGCTTGTGGTTTCTAATGGTAATTTTGAGTTTAAAACGATGCTATACTGCATTCTTTTCATTCATATTGTGCGTTAAAAATATGAATTTACACACACACTGATGTAGGAATAAACAGCTTACTCTTAAAAATTCTTTCTGTCACTTCTTTATATGGGACTAAGCAGTACTAATGCTAATTAAGCAGTACTGATTTGTATGTGATATGGTCCAGTGAGGTACCTTAAGCTTAAGGGGCTGAAATATCGTGGGAGAGGTTCAACTGAAAGAGTAAATAACAACTGACTCTTCTTGAAACAAAATAATACAGATTTCGCTTGAGGCATAAATACTTTAAAATACATTGCTGAGATTGCTCGGTGTTTGAAATACAGTTATGTTTTTATACTTGCAAAACTTCTGCTTAGCACTTGGCATCTCATTGGTTATGTTGCAGTTGATACTCATCCAAGGCCTTTGACTCACAAGGAAGTGACTGCATGTTCCTCTCTGAGACATTCCACAGCAAATGCAAGGCAGGACGAGGCTGCTTTTCTCAAACTGCAGCACATCTTGCCTTTGCTCTGGGCCCTGGCCACGAGCAGATACAGAAACCGACTTTGTGCAGTAACTTTTGCAGTGTGGTTCGTTCTTTATTTGTGAAACTCCCAAGTACACTTAAAAAATGGTGCTGGCTGGGCTTGTTTTTCCCAACTGCCTTATATTTATTCCCTGTTTGCATCATTTTGCTTGTCTGCACTATCTCTGATATCAGCATTTAATGGCTTTTGAGACATTTGCAGTAAGTTGCCCAAAGTTGTATAGAAGCCACAATATGACCTAAAATTTCCCCCTCCATATCACTGGAAGGTGTTACTTTGAATTATTTCATAATAGAAGTCACTGCTCTTACAGCCACAGAGTAGCTCTGACAAAATCCTTTAATTACTCTGTATGAGAGTGGAGGAGGGGAGTTTAGAAATGACTTATTTTAAATTACTTAAATGAAACTCTTCGTGTTTAAAGCTAAGCACTGGCCTAAACACATTTTTTTTCGTTCCTGTCATCAGATGGTGCAGTAGAAAAGTGTATAAACAAGTACACATTGTACTGTTGGATAGACTGGCTTTTGGATTTGTCATAACCCAAGTTCCTGGCCAAATTCCAATTAATTTAATTATATCAAGGCTGGCTTGCACTTCCTTGCAAGTACAATTTGAGTATGGCATTCCTAATAACCTGCCCTCGATAGCTGTGTGAAATTGCTTTTGCTCTCAGGGACAGAGGTAAGCCTGAGTGGCTCAATGTTTGTTATGCTTCTTTAAGTGGTAGAGTTTTTAATGAGTTCTTTTGGAATTAAATTACGTTAGCACAAGCAGTCACTGGCTTTGGTATTCTTCAGAAACTGCAAGTGGTTGTATTGAGCTTTTGATTCCTAAAATATACTCACTTTGAGGGAGTGGCTTGCTTACTAAAAACTGAAATTCCAAAGTAGCTAAATACCCTGCTGTCTAACTTGTATTTCTGTGCAGTGGAGATTAGGAGAGGGAGTTCCAGGCTAGGAAATATGTCCAGTTACATAATGAGGAGGTTTTTAGGAAAAAAAAAAGGAATATTTACTGGAATTAACTTTAAACCTGTAGAGTTTGTTTTTAAAGATTCCTCTGGGCACCAGAGGAATAGATGCATCTCTTCAGAATTTGGAGCAAAAGCTTGTATTCCCATGGAAGTGGATGCCCTGAGGAGAGTGATATGTTGGGAAAAGCAACAAATGTCATTTAAAGCAAATGAAGCCTTGGTTGTGAGTGGCAACACTGATACTGCAGTAGGAAAAAACAAATAATTTTATAGAATTTGGTATTATTTCATTCCAAAATACATGATCTAGGTTTGAGATGGAGTTATAGAGACGTTTTCTTTTTCTTTCTGCAGTTCTGTTTTCCCAGTGTGGCTCTGTCTGTTGCTTCAGAGTTAGTTGAAGAGTTGGCCTCTGTAACAGTTTCACTTTTTTTCCCTTTGTTTGTTTGCATAGCTGCTTTTCTAACATGTCACAGAGGAAAATTACTGAAGTAGCAGGTAGTTTACCAGTCAGCCTGTTAAAGTGCCTGCCTGGCTGGTAGGAGGCTGGCCTGTGTACCCTGGGGGAGTGTGAAGCTGTTAAACCTGAAGGTGTGTTTTGTTCTGGTGATCAGCTGTAGCCTGTTTTCCCTCACCAGGCCTGTAGCATTTTCAAGTCAGGAACCTTGTCCAGCATAACTGGAGTCCAATGCATGGTGTGTCTGCGTGGTGGAGTGGCCAGGCAGCGTGCAGAGGGGGCAACATAGGGATGGGGAATGGGCCAGTCCAGGCTCTGTACTGGGACCAGTGCCACTCTGTGGTTTGGGCAAGAGCAGGCAAAAAGATCCTCAATGTTGCTCACACAGAATATTCTGCAGAAAATTATGTAACCAATGGAGCACCTGATTGAGTGTGAGAAAAGGATTGTTCCTCCCCAGTCTTAGTGTCCACTTGAATTAGTTAAATTGTTGGTCACAACACTAATTTGCTAGTACATTAAGTTAGTAGTTTTTACAAGAAGCCTGGAGATGGTATAGTTGCTTTTGTTTTTAAAAGTTTATACAGTAAAATTACAGAAGTAAAATGAATTAGAATAGTAATTTTTATCCTTAAGGCTTGCTTGTGTTAAGGCAAGTAAAAGGGATATTGGTGGTGAGCTGCAGTTGCAAGCAGTCATGTCTGTTGTGTCTGCACCCTGTTTCATAGTCTGATGGTAAAAGTCAACTTTAGTGCCATCCCTGGTGTGTGGTGACACCCGTGGGGTGTCCAGCAGGACATGGCCAGCTGGACCCTCCTGCTGGTGGTGGCTGCTGGCACAGAGGGACAAGAGAGCACTGGACAGGCAGCACTCCCAGCTCCTCATCCTGCCCTCCCTGCTCCCTGCACCTGGGGAGTGGGGACTTCCCTCTTGGAGTAACCTCATGGGGAGCCCCAAGTGAGGAGTCACAGGGTGCCACAGGGACAGTGCTGCCATAGTTCATTCCTCTTGCTGCCTTTGTCTTACAGGAATTTATCCAGTCACAGCTTCATCTGGTAACCCTTTCAGCAATTTAATTATATGCTGTTACAAACTGTTTGTTCTGAACTTACCACCATCTAGTTTCTTTGGATAAATCCTAGTTCTTGTATGACACAGCAAACATCAAGTCATATTCCTCCGTTCCATGCGAGTCATGATTTTCAAACTTACATGTCTGCTCTGTTTTGCTTTCTTCTAGCTTAGTTGTCTTAGTCGCTCCTAAAAAGGAACCTCCCCGTATCTTTAATCATTCTTTTGATTACCCATGAACATTTTCCAGTTGTGCTGAGCTCCTGCTGAGGTGGAATTGTGTATCATGTTCAAGATTTTTGCCACTGGACATATTCGGCTTTTATCTGATAATGCCAATTGGCTTTGCCACCTGCTTTGTGGGTTTGCTTTGCTTTTTTTGCATACATGTGCCCTTAGAAAGGCAGCTGACTGTAGAAATTTAATTGTAGGAGGTTTTTAAGACTGGATCCTGGAATGTTTTAATCTTTTGGAAGAGTCTGATTCTCTTGCAAGTTAGCTCCCAGCTCTTTTCCTTTTCCCCCCCCCCACTGCTTTCTGCAATTCCTTAGTACATTAAGTCATGTGTTCCAGAGCAGCTGCAACACATCTTGTGATAGGAGCAGGGAATGCAGTGTTGGATGAGACTCTGTGTGCGTTAGTTCCCCAGGTACGTTCTCTCCTCACTGCTTTGGGCTCCTGCACCCCTTCCTTGGCATTTTCCTGTGCTTGGTGGTGTCCCAGTGCTGAACCCAGAGGTGCTGGTGTGCAGGGAATGCCCAGGGCTGGGTGGGTGGGTGAGGAACAGGCATTGGGAGCATGAGGGTAACGCACAACC